CGTTCAATTCTCTGTAACTAAAACGTAAGTTGATAAAATGTAAACTCTTTGCGTTGTGGAGTACGTATAGGTATACCGTACAAACCGGTAAGCTAAAAAAAAGAAGTGCGTCAATAGCGCGAACTAAACATGTAAGTTACGTTTACGTTGGACGAATGCGCGAAAGCGGCGCTCCTATTGTTTTGGTTATTAGGACAAGTTATTTTTGACTGCATTGGACATACTACTTGTAAATTACACAAGTAAATAAATGCTTGAATGTTCGCAGTCAGGGGTAATCAAGGTAATCTAGGCAGAAATACGCCTCTTATTTAATAAAAAGAACTTTTATTTAATAAAAAGAAAATGTTTTCAATACGTATAGCCTACTGTTACTAAATAGTAATTCACTCCTGAATGTTCAAAGTAATGGTAATAAAAACCTAAAAAAAAACATCAGTTTCCGCTTATCTATTAATGCCTTTCGCTGTCATGTGCCACGAGCGGCGGCATCGATTATAATACCTTATGTACGGATTATACCACACTATGACAGTCGACGAGCTTACGAACCGAACTAAGACACATTTTTATTATTAGTTACTCCCGAATACCTACCGAAAGGTCAGACGAATCTTAGTCGCGTAGCCTATAGCGTTATTCTATTTAAAGGTTTCGAACATAGTCTAGCGTTAATATCATTCGTTTTTATGGCTCCGCTTGAAACTTTCCTATTTTTGCCCGGCTACTCACACACACGTACACGATGCATTACAACTCACGTCGCATTGGGTTTCATGTCACAACCGTTCGCGTTCATGTTGTTCAGCCAGCTACCTCAATTGAGGTTATTGTCCTTTTATGCGCAATAGACATCCGTAGCAGGATTAAAACTAGGATACAACTATATACCGACTATGTACCGATGGTATCATGACAATAACGCTTTTTATCGGCAACAGGGGCACGAAGATTTCTCGTAACTGTTGCGCGGATCTGACGTCGACAGAGGCCAAGTAGAAGCAGGTGAGGAGCGTGCAACAATGGAGAGAGACGTACGGGGGTTTGGAGGGTGGCGACGTGAACTAAACATTGAATCGAACAAACAAATAGAGCAGGACCAGCTGCGGCAGGCAAATTCCGTGGATATGGCAGCAAACGGACAACTTGTTACTGCCTTACTTAGCGAGTTTTTAATGATGATAGCTTAGATATTCATCTAGGACCTCGAATGATTTTAGTTCTGCAACTGGAGTCGCCGATCAAGCATAGTGACCAGTCAGGGAGCGATCGATGATCGTTGCTGGTCTACCTATGTCCTTGGATCGCTACCGGTCCCGATTTGTATCGCAACATGTAGAAAAGCTTTGAAGCAACTTCTTCCTAGCAATAGCGTAGTTTATTCTAAGAGATGCATAAATAAAACCTCGGTATCTTGAACAATTGAGTGAAAAAAAAAAAAACACTTAATAGGAAGTAAGAGCTTAGGAGAGATATCTCTGTCCAAATCAAGGAATGAGCTCTAACACGGATAAAACGAGAAGATTTTTAGGATAGTCACGTCTTGGCTTGGCTGACCGCGTGTATCTATTCGGTTCTGCTGCGATCTCGGATCACTAATAGCTAGTTCTTTTTTAGTTTTCAGAAATTTACTTATATCAGTATAGCTATGTAGTTTTCGGAAATGTGTTCTTCATGCTTGTTTGTCTGTCACCTGAAGTTGGGTTCGTCTTTCCGGTAGACTGTGTATCAGACTGGAGCATTAGCTTCATATATCTATCCGTGTGGCATAATGTGAGTTTGATTATAAGTCTTCCATCGATACCAGCCGAAGTCGACATTCACCAGGTGACCGGCAACGGTAAACTTCAGAGTAGCTGTAGAGAATATGCTAAAGTAAAAGGAGAATGCAGAAGTAAACCCTCTGGAATATAGTGCCGAAAATTCCGAATTGAACTTGAGGTTCGATGTCACGTATTAACCGACAGGAACGTACAAGGCACCGCCGTACTACATATCTGGTTTATGGCTAAAAGAAAACTTTAAATGAGAAGCAATTTTTAATTAGAAAAGTCAAACACCCACCTTTATTTACAGATACGTTTAATTCTTTAACGATGAAGCGGAGAGCATTATTAAGGTTTACTTATTTTCATTTAATCGCTTTTCCTGAACTTTAAATGTTCAGTTATTTTCATTTAATCCTACTTCTTATATATTCGTATTTCGAATACAGTTATTTATTGATATTGACCTTATCAGGAATTCCTTTAGGTGCCAACGCTTCTATAAATGAGACAATAGGTCTTCTATTTAGTTTAAAGTGACGCTCTAGGGACCCGCAGTAGAAAAAACGAGATTTTCAAGCTTGAAATTATTTACGGTTTTAATTAACACAGGTTTACTATTCGTAGGGTTTTGGCGGTCAGTTAAGATATAGGGTACGCAAAAATAGGGTGCCTAAACTTAAATTTTACTGGAACGCTGACCCATTTGTTTTCGCATATTATCAAAAATTACTTGAAACAGTTTATTCTCTGTAACTTAAAGTATTCAGTATTGCGACTCTGACTCTATACAGATTCCATGCGACACTCCACTGTTTTATAATTTTATCGTACAAACATATTGTGCATTTTTACGATGCGATAAAATACGACAGCGCCGATGGTGGAGGAATCAGAATTACACAAGTGCCATATTCCCTCATGTAGCGTTGATGTTTCGGCGCGTCACAATATGCGCTCCAATTAAGGGATATCTTAACGTCGTGACAGATTAGTTATGTATCGTCGGTATATAACTGGCCAATAAGATGCAACTGGGGCATCCGCAGATTTGCTTAAGGTGATCGCTCGCAAACAGTACAACTAACAGGAAAAGCTTATTTTAAAAGATATTCAGCTAAAACAAGCTCAATTCCACAGCCACAGACCCAAACATAACTAGATACAATTTTCCAGCGTGCAAACATCTTTTAAGATATAGTTAAGGAAATACTATATCACTGTTTAATGAAACATTTGAAGATCTGAAAGTGTTTAGCAGACAACTGCAAGTTCACGTTTCCTTATCATTAAATAGAGTCAGATTTAAACAAAAACAAACAAATATTATTCACATTACAGGTGCTTTCTCAAAACGACGGTTCCTACCTAGATCACCATCTTGAACTAAACTATTCTCACAAGAAGGGGCTAGTTGATTTTTATCTAACTGGATGAATCGCAGCTCTAGTGAACTCTGTGAACAATAGTCCTACTAATATAGAGACGTTTCAAGGACTTCACTCTTTCGTAAAATGCGTCTGTAATGATATTAACAATGGGGATTGACCATAGAATACACAGGCGTCTCAATTTAGTTCTATTATACAACCTAATAATATTTTGAACTTTACACCAGAGCAAATGATCTAGGGACAATACCGGATACTGATCATCGAACCGAAGGCAAAATGAATACGGCAAGCCTGTATGTTAAATGTTAATCTGCATCAGTACATAAATGTTTCAATACTTAAGGCTCCAGTAAAAAGGCAATAATAAACGGAATTCTGACGTAGAAAACGAAATTTTTGTCATTTTATAGGGTTGCCGTATTGCTTAGTGTTATACTATTCTTTAATAATGACTCCTGATCAAGACTTTCAGCATGGAAAAGTTTCGGTGTGTGTTGAAATATTAAAACGAAAAAAGTGCTCCTTACTGACATAATCAAGTTGATCTCTTTTCTTTAAGAACTTCTACTTAAACGGTTCATGAAACAACCCTTAGTGTATTTCTATATTTCGAGCGTTACGTCCGGTATCGCAGTTAGGTATTCCATCAGATGGCTGGCTGGCTGGCTCTCGGCACAAAGTATCAAAATCGAATTTCCGTACCTAAATCACTACAAACGGTGCTGATGATCCTAACTCTTTTGACTGTATCTGTGTCCTCATGCCTATGCATATAGAGCGCATAGAGATACACGCCGTATTGGCTAACGTAACTGCAAATGTAACAATAACAGCGTCAGGAACCGACTTACCAAATAACGAGTGCCGTGTTTCACGCCGAAGGCCCCCATTGTGCCTTTAGCCTATATTGTTCACTGCTTTTCAGTCTAACCTAGATACCTAGCAGCGGTGACGAACAGCTTGCTGCCGTTAGCAACGTGTCATCCCCTTCGCGATCGTGGCAACAGGATACCGCCGGTCTCTCTTTTGCTCGTGCAGTTGCACCGTCTTAAGTCTTCAACGAAGGCCTAGCCAAACGCTAATGCAGGACGGGTCATCGTACAAGGTTTCACTAAGTGGGTCGTCAACCCACATAATTGCGTTAAAAGGCTTTTTATTTTGGTGTTCCCATCACTCGTACTGCAACAGCCCCAAGGCCCGAAGAGCATTAGGGCTACAAAGATAGCCAGATTCGGACACAAGGCCGCTAAGACCCAAGCCATATGCCAGCGTGGAACGGTAATTCGAAAACACGCTGTAAGGCCTGGATAAGGTTTTCCAGCGGCATTTTCGTCCACTATTAGACGCTGAGCTTTTTTTGGTTGTACTTGATTATTTTCTAGCGATTTTAGCTGAACCTGATTTGTCAAATTCAAGCACAACTGATGTTTCGCATTTGCACGTCAGTTCGATAACTATTGTGCATCTTCTGCTCAAAGATTATGAAGCTTATCTTTAACACCAATGCTAAACAATGGTAAACTGAAGCCCATCAAGGGACTTGGCGTGCTCAGTTCACACATTTATCCGAAATAACTCCGAAAGCGAGGACAAAGGCTAAACCCACTCTTGGGAAAGTGGGCTCCAAAGGCAGGCTATTATATTTATACGTTGCTTGACCCCTAAGGCGTCGAAGTCTGATAATAACGTCTCCCGCCTTGCCGCTAAGGCGTTGTCCAAAGTTATACAGATAGGCAACCATTATTGCGGCATATTTGCATTGAGTTTCAAATTCCTGCTGATGACGATGTTTGTACCTTGATGCATAATGTTAACTTTTTTTCGCCAAAGTAAACAAGAACCTAGCATTTAGTGCACCTCGTGTTATTAATATATATATATATATATATATATATATATATATATATAATATGAGGCAGTAGCTGCCCCACTGCAAGGTTCTCTAAAGAAAGAAACGGGCGAAAAGATTTATAGAGTGTCTAGAAGGAACCCTGGGACACCATAAATTAGCGAAGCTGAACTGTAATTGAACAAGCGCCACAGCAGGCGGGACATTCGGGCCCTTCCGGTTTTTTGACTGAAGACAAATTAGTCGGAGATAGCATCGGGTATATCACACAACTAAAATGGCGCACGCTTTTCCTTTATGTCGCACAGTAAATCCCACTTATAAGGCTCTAATATCAATTAGAAAGACTCCTACAACTTTTCAGAGTGATCGCACACGGGCGAATCGAAGTTATCTATAACATTTTTTAGATATAATAAGCAATATAATTAAAGGCAAATCGAAGCGCGTGATGCGGCCCCTAATTGTTTTCTCGCAGGTTAATCAAGCTAACTTTTCGCTCTCGTTTCTTGTAGTGACTAGCTTCGATGGATTCACCCACTTACCTCGAGAAGTCTCTTAAAGTCCTGTACTCCCACGCTATCTACATCAACACCGATGCCGTACTTTCAAGGTTACATTACCATGTTTGGCAGGTTCCTGCAGAGTGAATAGCCCTACATTCTGATAGGAACAGACGTGCCTACGGTGATATGCATCTTGCTCTTAGTATTGTGCTAACATGTTTATTTTGAAATATTGTTGCGTTCTTCGTTTCGGCTTTACCACCAAATGCAACCTGTCCCTCTGAGGAACCGCTGTTCCCCCTAAAGGAACCGAACGGGAAATGAAGAATGGTTCATGGCATGCGTCTCATTGGCGAAACTGTATCATAAATTCAAGTGAAATGGCGAGTGGGCTTTAGCCACTTAACGGTATTGCTTTTCCAGCGAAAACAAGGTTAGCCAATAAGCAATATTAATTGAATAGGAATATTATTTTCGTCCAGCTTGCTAACCAATTAGGGGTACATCTCATAATTTATTAGCCAATTTACCGATTGTTTTGACTTTCTGCTGGATCAAAAGCCCGTGACGTGCAACAAGGGGCAATTTTACTGATATCATTAATGCCGTTTGTGCCGTGTTAATAATTCATAAAGACCGAAATACTTTCTCTTAACAGACGTTTCCATTTCAAGTTCCGAAGATACAAATCATAATTAAACCCAACGGTATTTAGTTCCGTTGTTGGGAGAGCTAGCCCTATGCCATATCATGTATTTGCGCTTATGTCACTAAGATAAATGAAATTTCGGAGAGCCACATCAGATAGCCTGGTACTTATGCTAATCTGTATTTGCATTGCTGTCATCATTTATATGTTACGCATGTAATCGATGCTTTAAACATTTTTTTTTTTTATGGGAAGACGATTACGTTTAATGTATGCACGGGATTTGTGTGTTGCTTTAAAAAATAGGGTTAGGTTAGGTAGGCTGGCCAGAATGAAGATGCTGTGGTAATGACAGCAATAATAGTTAGCAATAGATTATGATTGGTTTTTTGTTAAGAACTGTGATACCGAAATAACAGATGAGGAATGAGCGATGATGACGAGGGGAAAAGTAGCATATTCGACTAGCCAGTAGACTTATTCGTCTGATCCTGATAGGCGACTTCTCAAAGAGAGAGCACATCGCGGTTTGCAACAACTAAAGTTTGTTTTTCGTACGGAGCCTAGCTCTTCATCGTTGTATCTTAATACCTTCACCGCTCTCACATCTGCTTCTCTAATACCCACCACAATTTCTTGCGTGCTTTCCTTAAGCTAATTTCTGCTTTGAGTTATTGTTTTTTACTCGATGAGGAATGAACGGCGCATCCGGTACTCACGGGTAATACGAACAAACGGTTCTGCTAAAATGGGAGGGGCCATGATGTCGTACTGCGAGCGTACATTGGATGGATTACTCGCACTGTGATAAAAAGCCTTTAAGCATTCTGTGAAAAATCCCACCTCATGTTTACGTATTACCATGCTGGTAAATTGTAGCACGGCAATTCATCCAGATTTAAGACAGCAAACCCTCGGATTAAGATTTCCGGCCTTAGCCCATTACCCCGTAATATTAACCGACAATTTAACATAGCCCGTCTTACCGGTGTAGCAAGGTGAGCGACGAAAGCGTTCAACATCTTGTATCGTACCTTCACCGGATTACCCAATAACTAAAAGGTATCTTTATGATCTGTCTTCAAATGCTTCTTATTGACATTTAATTAAGTTTCGGCCGCACAATCCATTCGCCAATAATTCCTTCGCTTCCATAAAAAAAAGCAAGCTATAAAAAATAGATGTTGAACAGTGTTTAGACAAAAGTTGATCTTTGCCTCATCCGTTCGAGCCATCGCAGTTCTGTGGAAACAGCGCTCCGTTGAGTAGCAGATGCTTCTTTTATAACGGTTAACGTGGTAACGCAGTTACAGCCACTGCTGCTGTACTCGCTATTGTCTACGAGCAGCTGAAGATTAGCGAAGGGAGGTAAACAACGAATCGTTGCTTTCTGTCTTCCGCTGCCGTTCCCACAAGTGCTCGCATGTAGCTTTACTTTGCTAATATTTCGGTTATGAACACAGACGAAGACACGCCGTAACTGGGACGCACAGATACCTATATAAGCAACAGCCGCTGCCGGCATAAGTACGTCGAAAAAACTGCTTCCGCTTTCAATTAAGGCGTGAAGATTCTTGTTCTCCATGGTTCTAATCGCTACGCACAGCGTTCTCCGTGTCGGGGGATCGTCTCTATTATGATGGATGGCTCGTTACCCACTAGGCAATTTAGAATTCTAGCTATGTATGAGGTCGATCCCGCATCAATGATCAGTAACAGAAACGTATAATTCAAACTAATGTAATAACAACGGCTTACTAAAACTACACCACAGTTCAGTTTATAAAATAGTACTCTTCATTGTTTCAACAATACAGTTGTTATTCTAGACCAATTTCCATAATCATGACTACAAAGCTTAGAACAATGATTCGTCAACTCCGACGAGCGCCCTGAAAACAGCAACAGTTGCGTTCGGTTAACGGCCTTCGGTTAACGGCCTTCGGACGCCAGTAAAGTAGACTACGGCCTCTCCGGCAGATCCGCTGAAGCCCTAATCCATGGTGCCAAAATCCTCGTGGGGCCAGCGCAGTGGGCTTTGTTAGCCATAGGCGTCGCTTTCCATGCAGACCGGAACTCCTAACTGGCTGAGAGTTTCTACCTGTAATGAACTTTTAGCGATAGAAAGCAATTCCCCAATTACCAACTCGGTTAAGTTTTCGTTTTCAGAAAAACTGTGACTTAGTATTAAATTGAAAGGAGCGACAACTATCTAGATTAATATAGGTCAACGATAAACGATGTGTTATGATTAATTATTGAGAAGATTGTTACCCAATTGTTGATTATTACCACTATTTCCAGATGCCTCCTCTCGTTATAAACTACATTTATCTATCCGCCATAATCGAGTAAATCGTGCAACCGTGACATGGAAACAGTACTTTGGAGGAACGGCTTCTTAGTGCATTTTTCCTTTATCTCCCCAAAAAGTTTCTACTAACAGACTAAGATGATGACAAAGCTTGTAATAAGGCGTTGCACGTATTTGGCTGATAAAAATAAAGCGTCTATGAAAATACTAAGGCGAACTATAATTAATCGTATACGTACCATACCCTGTTAGGAGGAAAAACGAATAGACTTACATACGCACCCAACGGATCGCAGTATCGGTAGTGCCATTGGTCGTTTAGCCTAAGTTTACTACAATATAACCTAGACCTCAGTCTTCTAGAATGGCTCACGTTTTTCTGGTAAATCCTACGAAGTGAAAGTGTTAATCATAGGGGCCTTCACTCATTTCTACATATTATATATATCACTGTGGTAATGGGCGCAGTGTCGATTTCAGACTTCGTTCAGTACTCAACGAAGCGGTCACGTAAGTTTTATTAGCGTCGTTGCTAACGACATATAATCTGCAACGACCTTACCTAAGTGACCGTTAAGACTGAGCTAAGGACCAATCTGAGTATATGGCCTAGAAATGTGGCAGTAGATTTACAGGTGTTACGAACGGTAGAAAGCATCAAACATATTTTAACGTTTATGATAACGGCACAAAAGCGAAAACAGCAATTTCCATCTGCCATACTCGAAAAGGTAACGGACGCAGTTAAAATTAGGATAAACATGGAATTGCTCGTGGCATTGCAGTAAATTCTTAGTTGTATAGCCAACTTCGAGGAAGCGAAATAACCGTTAGCTAGTTTAAACGTTGCCGAATTGGCCGGATGCATTTGTTAGAGACAGAGATTTAGCATCAATACACCTTGTCCTATACATAACTTTTTTGCAGAAAATAACTGCACCCGAATTTCTACTCACTATTATAATAAATCCCAACGATAGAAATCTTCGTGCCACAATAGTAAAAACATTTGAGACTTAGCTATCAGACGATCCGAAATAAGCCTGGTAAAACGCAAGCTTTTGATAGGCTACGCGTATATATATTATACAAATCGTGTTTCGACTCGAGTGATGGACTCGACTCGAGTGAAGGGTCTGCTTCTACAGCTTTTGTGGACACATTCTCGTGCCGAATCAGCCCTTGCTTGATAAGCCAGTATATCCTGAGATGAAAAAATTACTATCGCCTCGTTTATAAAGGTGGCACGTTTAATCCAAATTTCTCCTATATGGCCCGTGAAACGTTTTGGTTCCAAAATTCGAGGCGGCCTCACGTGTTGAGCTTTGACTATGACGAACTGTTGAGCACCGGTCAGATCGCCGCTCTGCATTCCGAAGCTGCTTCCACCAACGTGATCTGACGTCGGCGTCACACGTTGTCTATGAGCAGAAGTCTTTTCCAAATATTCGGCATTTTCCACAGTCGTTGAATGTCTTATCGGCCCAGAAAGCGTTCGACTATTTTGCAACTAAAAGCTAAAATAATTACGTACAAGCCTCCCATCGTCACTTGAAACTATTTCTTGGGTTTTGTTTCTTGTATTTGAGTCTGCTAATCTGCAAAGATGCGTAGGTAAGAAAGATGTAAAAAAGAATGCTATTTTCTCAAAGGGTATTGCAGTGGGGCTAGCATTACGTTAGCCGTCCCGGTGACCAATTATTTGCTTTCGGTAATCGATCCGCGTAACAGCGCCATGCGAAGATGATAATGAGCTTTGTGTCCCAGTTCATAATGCTATTAGATAGCTTGTCCGATTCATCACAACGCCACTGGCAGTAACTTTACAATGATCTATAATCGAAAAACCGATATGATACAACTACAGTAAACTGCCGCTAGGTGAATATTAACTTTTGTGAATTCGTTGTTTGTAGTGATAAGATAAAATAAATTTGTTCCCGCATAGTGTTTCTGTTATGAGGTGTATGATACGTGTGTGTATGCTCGTACATCGAAATCTCACAATGTACGAGATCAGCCTGCGATCCCATGATCCGTCCGGAGTAACGCTTGAGTGCAGTACCGAACGGAAAGCTCGAAAAATTCATTTACATAGAAATCTCATTACTGAATGCTTTTGTTTGAGGCTATGCAGTGTAGAAAAGTGAGCATCTACAGTGTTTTTCGAGACAATTATAAGTTAGTTTAATTCCCAGTGGCACTCAGATTTGCTTTACGGGTCGATTTGAGATCTCAGTTGATGCCGAAGGAGGTCCTTAAAGAGCTATTTACAAGAGTTCCAAACGGTGAATTTTAACATAAGCGATCTAAACAGAAATTCAGATAGCTCAATTGGGAGAAAGAGGACAATTTATAGATTCTGTATTAGACGTTCTTGAAGAGTCGCAGGTACGTGAGGTAACCACAACGCTACTTTTTCAATTTATTATCTACTATTTTTAAAATCGTTTCCTTATTAGCTTCCCGGTAAATTTCGTACCATTTTTTCAGTGTGTATTGTTTCTGCGAGTCATGAGAGTTTCCTACTTTTGCATCGTGAACAACAGCCTTGAGAAATAACGTCATCATTAAGACAAAAGACCAAAGAGGTGTATAGGAAAACAAAATCATTTAGGAAACAAAGAAAACAATAACTATAAAGCACAATATGGTGAGGGGCATGCGCTGAAGGATGCTGGATAATTATACAGATAAAGCAGTGTGACAACTCTGAAAACTTTCGCTGCTTTCCTGCTATCTAGCTTGCAGTCTTTCGAAAGCACAAAAACACGAAAAAATCATCATTATCATTGCTGTTGAAGCATGTCTTTATTGGAACGTGTGTTTCTAGTGGCATTGCAACATTACTGGAACATATTTCTAATACAATATAGAATGCTTTGTCGGTTACTTCTGACGGCCCGTCTCAATTCCGAGTCGAACGCATTGTTATGTATACGATCGTTATCTTCGATATTGGCACTTGGATCAAGTTTCGCCTAATTGCCTACACCTAGGTGTGCCTTGCCCCAATTATTTGTTTGCCCACGCAATAATTCTATAGCTTGCCAGTCGAACCAGTATAATTCCTCAGCCGCTATCGTATTCGATGTAGCATCTCTCACGCTCTTCGACTGATTAGGCGTACTAGCGAAACGTTCTTTTTCTGTGACTTATCTCATCATGGTTGTTGTGTAAGCTTTGCTCCCTGTATGTATGTCAAGAATAACGACGGGTTTAAAAACACCTAACTTTTCCTGGATTTTTGTGTGCCTCACACTCACTCCCGCACACATGCCACCTCATAAACTCGTCTCGCTGAATTGTTCCGAGGTGGCTACTGCCAGTAAGCATCACGTCAAATAGAGCCTAAGTCAAAATACTGCTGCCCCGATAAAAAACGCTAGTCATTGTGAGACGCTTTCTACCATCCTTGTGTACGATGAACAGGAAGCGACTCTGACGAAAAATCGTGTGTATTTGTGTGCGTATACGTCTGGTTGTATTTTGGCCCGTGCTGTTGACTGGTTGATTTCTGCTCTTGGGACAATAATGAGTTTGCTGGGCAGCCCTCAGGAAGCAGACTATCAGAGCAAACATGACCGGTAAAAAGCCTACACAGAAACAAATACATATAGCAGCGATGAGAAGAAAGAGTTGAGCGATTCCAGCCACGTTGTCAGCTCCGGCAGCTTCACTGGGACCATTCACTCAAGTTTATCTTTAGTCTCTTTCTGCCCTTGAGCTCACTATAACTCACAATTACGACACTAGTAGCGTCAGCAACGGTACCAACAAACAGATTAAGGCTATGCAGCTGAGGCCGAGTAAGAGCAGACGACGCCGCACCCAACGCCAACTTATCCATGCTGGGGCGGTTTTTGAAACAACTGTGCATAGCGGCCATACCATGTGTCGTAATAGGTGCTTACTTCCTACTTCCTGCATTTTTCGTTTTGTACTTTCTGCGCCATCAAGTAAAACTCTCTTCTCTGGCTAGCCCATTTGGCCGGCAAGCAGAAGAGTTTTCGGTGCCTGAATCCACTCAGTCCGTCGGTGTCTGTCTTTCAGGCGAAAGGAGCGTAGCAGCCGGTCCTGGTCGCAAGCGTTACGAGCGCTCTCAACTTTAAATTCCACGTGGCACTCTTCAACTAATTCCATTTGTTTTGGCCAAGCCTGACCAAGGGCTGATACTGCTCATTGAAGAGTAAACGTTGAGAGACCTTGCATCGCATCTTCACGTCCGGGACAAACTGTAAGGACACTGGAGACGTCTTTATCTCAAGACAGCGATAGCACCAGACGACAGCCTAACGTCAACCCGCACGCTTTATCGTTCATATTAGTTTTGCTCCGTCTTCATACGTTATCTAATATCTTACTGTCGTTGTTTGTTATCAGTGCAAAACATCAGCATAACTGAAGCCGCAGAAATTACTTTGAATCGCACTTTACTGAAAACAAGAAGTTTTTCTTCGATCCATTGAGAACATCTAAGTTTGCCCCTTATGCTATTGTGAAGAAAACAAAAGCTCACTAGCAAACCCTCCCATATAAAAGCTTCTCTCACTGAATATAAATTTAAAGATTTCAGACGAGCTCTCACACGCACCTACTCACATAAGTACTTGCATTGAACTGAGCACCTTTAACATAAAAAGCTATTTAATTCACTGTGAACGCATCGAGGGCAGTTCTCCTACAGTCAGAGCAAACGGAGCTTAAATTTTGTGGAAGTTGTTGTGAATCTTGAAAATGCTCCTATCGTGTCGATAACTCTAACAGAGTTGGTCTACTGTAGTAACCGTTGAACTTAACTTTAAATTGGGCCAACTTCAGTCGTCATTGAGTGAGTTTCCCAGATGGCTGCCCGAACGAGCTTAATTTTAAATCCCTTGCGTCCTATCTGCCGTGTTTAGTACGAAGGGGGAGGGGGGAGGGGTGCATAACTTACATTGCCATACATTGGCAAATGACCTCTAAGGACATCATTTTAGTACAAAAGGTTCTTTGCAAGATGAAACACTAACTTTTGAGTTCTTAAGCGGCATGGACCTTCCCAAAATCATAGTTCGACTGTTTACCCAGTTTGCTACTCATTACCAACCTATTAAAGCGTAGCTCAACTAGTGATTAGATCGAAACAAAAAGAAGTTTGAAAAATACAGCCATCCTACGTTTAA